AGGCATGACGAAGCAGATATCGTCCTCTTTTGGAAGGCCAAACAAAGTAGTTTCGCTTTCACAAAGAAACACACAGCGTCTCCACGACATGGCGGCGATGGCAAAAATACTACAGCGAGAATCAAAGTTATGCCTTCTTTCTTTGTGTGAACATTTGGGCGGCGTTATGCAAATCTTCCCACATCGTGAAGTAGACATGTGGGGGCGTGTTAGAACGAGCCGTTTTAGGTAGGCGTGGTTGACTCTTAACTTTTATAAAGAATATCTCTTTGGATTTGAGACTTTAGTCTTTGCAACTTTACAGATCTTCTTTATGCACCAAGAGCTTGTAACACTCCAAAGAGAAAGGAAAAATTGTAATCGCATCATATGACCCCTTTAAGTTTCAGCCCATTTTCACGCTCCATGTAAGTGACGTATCCGATTAACCGTACAGTGCATACTTTTAGGTTAATTTAATTCGCTTACTTCCATTCATCCATTGACAAATTGCCAGCAAAACCTTTATATAAAAAACGCTTATCTACACATAAGATGACATTAAAAGCTCAAACTTTCAGAAACAAGAGCTCAAGTCTATAGTTAACCTAACGTTACCTCTTATAGTTAGCCTTACGGTTGAAATGCTAACGGACTTTTTCCGAAGACACTAAACCATTTCTATAAAGTAAATATTCAACGGAAGCGTGTCATTTACATGAAAGAAAGTGTCAGGAACGCTTGTATGTACTATTTGTGTAATTTCAGAGACTAAACTTACCTGAAATTAGTGAAAACAGTGAGAGACGGAGTTGCTGCTTGACAGATGAGCTGCCGCCCCGTTTCCATGGTGACTTCCTCCGCTCCAGTTTAGCGTGCGCCCATTAAAGCATGTAGAAGTCACGCAGAATTTACGTAAATATCATATCATATCATATCATATATCATATCATATCATATAATAACTTTAGAAATGGTAAACGTGGTGTAGAAATAACATTGAAAAAGCATTGATTAAAAACTAAGGCATATATATAGGAATATATTTTTTCATACACATATTTACACATGTATCATGAGGAACAATTTTTAAGCTTTATGTTTTATGTATTTTTAAAATGTATTTTCAAAATATATTTAACGGTGCTACATTCCTGTATGGGTGTAATTAATGTGAATTTATTAATAGGGCTAGGTTATATAAAGGCTGTGGTTTATTATGGTGTTTGAACTACTGAGATGTTTAATATGTTTTTATGGATGCATTATAGGCATATTATATAAATAATTGTTAATAGGTGTACTACACAGCACAAGCATTTTCAACGAGATATAACCCACTAGGAGCAATTTCTGCCATGCCAAATATACAGTATATTTACATATGGTTTGCGAATGTAAGTTCTTAATAACAAATAATCTATGGGATGCGCAGGTTGTGCGGTGACACATAACTTGAAACTATTCCTACAATTTATTTCTTCACTTGCTACATTTATGTTCATGGCTATATTAGAGCTATTTGTGGTCCGAAATGCAAAATTTTGACTAAATTAGACGGACCTAACAAAGCCCAGTTTTCAACGTCGATTTTTGGGCTAAATTTGGACCAAATCCGGCGGACCAAACAAAGCCCAATTTTCAACGTCGATTTTTGGGCTAAATTTAGACCAAATCCGACGGACCAAACAAAGACCAATTTTAAATGGGCTAAAAGAAGTCCATGACGGGCAGACTTGATTTAGCCCAAAAAACGACATCCAAATGACGTGTGGTGCTGGGTGGGTTGTACATGCCACGTTTCAACCTGTCTCACTCAGAAGACATCATAAACTGAAGAAAGCGTCTTGCTTGTCCCTATTAAGACGCTAAAGGTTCCGTATCAGTTACAAAATATTATTACTTACCTATTAGGCCCTTAATGGGTTAGCTCCTGCGTTCCTAACTAGTCTTCTACCACGCTACAATCCATCACGCTCCCTAAGGTCGCAAAACTCTGGACTTTTGGTAGTACCTAGGATAGCAAAGTCCACTAAAGGAGGTAGAGCTTTTTCGCATTTGGCTCCCAAACTCTGGAATAGCCTTCCTGATAACGTTCGGGGTTCAGACACACTCTCTCTGTTTAAATCTAGATTAAAGACTCATCTCTTTGGCCAAGCATTCAAATAATGCATCTCATAATCTTGTACTGCAGTTATATCTGATCAAATGCGCATTATTATTCTTTAGCTTGGGTTAAACAACTCAATTTAGCTTGGTTGGAACAGCAGCTACGCTACTTATGTCTCTATTTGTTTCTCTGTTTCTGCCACGGGATTGACAGCCCGTGGTAACTAGGAATTACACAAGCTTCAGTCTGGATCCAGAACACCTGAGAAGAGATGATGCCAACCCCTCAGAGGACCTCAGATGATGCCAACCATGAATCAACATACAGAACTACCAAATTCTGCTATAAGTTTGATTGCATCACATAATAATTGCTGTTAATAGTGTTCATCGTCTGTTTGATTACGTCTTTAATTGATTTTTCCGTACATTTCTGCCATATGTAGATTAACTGACAGTCATCACTGATAAGCTACCACTAAATATTGTAGAAACTAAATTTGCTGTATAGTTGCTTTGCAACGACTTGTATCGTGAAAAGCGCTATACAAATAAACTTGAATTGAATTGAATTAAATTAAAGGTAACCCTAGGCATCACTTTTTCAACAAACTAGGAACTCTGTTGTTTCAATGGGAAATAAATGGCTTCAATGCACAGATGCAAAGAGCATGGGAATTTTATTTTCATGAAATTGGGGTATAAATTTGTCATTATGACACATATGTTGGGGCATTTTTAATCTGAATAGCCACAATAATTTCATTTACATTACACTATTTAGAAAGTTTTGAACACAAACCCTTACCCCTAAACAAAATGTTAAATATAAATCCATTTAAAACACAGAATATAGCAGGCAAATACAGGTACAGTCAAAAAATACAAATATTCCGAGGCCAAACGGTTGTTTTGTTGGGTGAATAGACCCAAACATCCCTCAAGTTGTATGAATTTATTTCTTCTGCACATTTGCAGTTGCTGGACCATATGAATATTAATAAATAAATAAATAATACTATGGAAGTCAGTGTGGACCAGCCAGGAGTGCCGTTGACACGGGGACAAGGGGGGTCATGACCCCCGCACTTTTGAAAAGACAGCAATCGACCCCCGCACTTTTGATAAGTGAAAATGATGGCATTATTCTAATGACAAATGTCGAGCGCATTTTTGTAGCGCAAAAGTACATTAATATGATGTGCAAGTGCAAATCTCCCCGTTCGCACACGGATTTCCTTTGCTCTTGCACTAAAGCCTGATTTATACTCGACGCATCCGCAAGTACGCTTGGGTGCGCGCGGCAAATATGACGTCATCGCGGTGTTGGCGGAAGTTCGCTTTGAGTGCGCGCGAACTCATTTCGCGTGGCGGTGTGCACGGCATTTTTTTGTAACTTTCCGCGCAGCTCCGCTTCCGAAGATGCACAAGTTTAGGGCGACTCTAGCCACACATACTCGTCTGTGTCGCCGTTTGTGTGAAACTGAAGCAGTTTGATGTGAAGTTCAAACTCCATTAGGTGCTTTTTGATGCTTTAAGGGAAAACAATGCATAGTTTTTTTTTTTTGCATAGTTTGTCCAAGGCTCCAAGGCAAATGACTTATCACCAGTGATGGTTTTAAAGGACAATTACTCCTCGTCGCCCCCTGTCGTTTCAAAGAACAGTACTACGGCGAACGCGACAAGTATAAAAGCCTCGTCCGTTTGGGAAGGTGCACGCGGTCGCGTAGTCAGCGGAGGCTCGCGAAGCGGAGCCAGTAGGGATGGGCGTATCGATCCAAAGTATATCGATACTCAAACAAAAAATATCGAAACTAAGGTGTGTTTTATTTACCAGTGATTTTGTTAATTCAACAACAACAACAAAAAAAAATAATGCGTACAATATGCATTCAATTGTACGAATAACCTATGTTAGTAAATAATTGTGTAGGATATAACTATTTTCCTGCTCATCTGAACACACTGCAAGACAGAACCAATCAATCACAGAGAGCGTTCACTCACTTTTGACAGTGCATTCAAACAGGGCTGCTTTTGCTGAACAATGCTTATCAGAGGACAGAAGGACAGAGTTATTTCACAACAAACAAACTGAAATTGTAGCCTACATAGTTTGTGCAATTACAGTTATTTAAATTGAACGTTGAACGATAATATTGATCATGTTCTATTCTGTAATGTTAATAGAAATCATACACTGTCAGAATAAAAAGGTTGCATTTTATGCATGCAACAGCCTTTCAGCGTCAGTCCCTTATGAAAATGAACCATGGTTTTACTAAAGTGACCATAGTTCAACTGTAGTATTTATAGATTTGAATCATGTGTAAACAAAAAACGTATTTGAACCATGTGTAAACAAAAATATAACCTAATAAGTTACAATTAAGGCGTATTGAATGTTAAAATGCATTTTAAACATAAAGTGCTTATCATTATCCATTTTACTCTTAGTAATTTAATAATTTAATACATTTCATAATTTAAAAGTTTAGTTCAGAAGTATCGAATCTGTATCGATATCGACGATACTGCCTTGAAAAATATCGGTATCGTATCGAAAACAAAATAAGTGGTATCGCCCATCCCTAGGAGCCAGGCGAAAGTATAAATCCCGCTTAAAGCCTCTGTTATACTTTCAGAG